CAAACGCCACGTGTTGAACAAAGAGTTGTCATATTATCCGTTCGTGACTAGAGAAATGATAACGGCGATTTGAAGGGAAGAAAAAGGAAAGAGAAGAGATAATTAATTTTTTTTTTAGTTAAGCAAGGTATTTTTTTTTTCCGAAACAAAGCCGCGGATTGTTCACGCCCGACTAAGACATCATTGGTCAAATGGTGATCACGTGACGCACAAAGGAGGAGGAAAGATACCCGACCAAGACCTCATTGGCTGAGAGTGATCACGTGACGCACGAAGAAGGCTGTCGACGCCCCATCCAGAGTGTAAGTATGAGAAGCTGCTACAAAGAAGTGGGAGGGCAGTTCACGCCCCTCAGAAGTATGGTGAGAAAGTGGGAGTGAAAAAAGTTACCAAAAAATGGAAAAGAGTGGAAAATCCCTAACCAGAAATAAAAAGAGGTGGATATGTATTTAGAATTATCGAGGAACCCCCCGGACGCCAACAGACCCACCCCGGTTTTGGTCGGCGTCAATAAGAGCCAGGCTCCAACAGGCAGAAATCAGTTCGGGTCCTGGCGGCAGAGATGAGTGTCCAGAGAGTTCGAGCTCCAGTTTCCAGAGTTGAAGCCGCCTCGAGATAGCTGACCAAGATTCACAAAAAATTCCGGACTCCTCTTCAACCAAGAACAATTATTTTGAAGAGCAACTTAGGACCAGACCACCGAAATAAGTTTTTTTTCGACTTTCGTCCAAAGACACACCGAAACACAAATTTCTTGAGAGCAAACAACTTGAAGCGTTAAAACTTGCCTAGCGAAAACGACGTGTCACAATCCACAGAACGGGTCGGGAGATAGATGCAGTCCTATGTATCGAACAACTACACATAAAGTTTGTTACCTTTTTCTTTGATACTTTGAACTTTTTGAGTTTTCATTTTATTTTCTTTTATGCATATTTGTGTGTTATCACCCCCGTTGAACTCAGTTTGCATTACGGCCCCAGCCCCTGTTTGATCTCGTCTGTCTAAGATCAATTCACAACGTGGGTAGGCAGACTGGAGATCAGTGCAGTTACCTTGGTAACCAGGCGTTGGAAGCGAGTTGGGAGCGACGAGGCTGATATCAAATCTAACCAGATTCCCACCCGAATCACCAAAAGGTTAGAACGTCACATTTGGGTGCCGCGACCGATACCAAGCCAGTTGGTCGTCACAGGACGAGACAACACGACTGACGCGACAGGCGGACGTCACGTTTGGAGCAGCGACACCCGGACGGAGCAGCGAGGAGCGAACAGCTGGCGCCGCGGCGAAGACGTCACAAGTGGTGCTGTTTGAGGACGTCACAACTGGCGCCGTGGTAGAGCAGGATAGAACGTCACAGTTGGCGCAGCGACCGGGGGACGACGTCACATATAGAATGTGCCCTAATTTCTGAGTCTTCCACGGTTGATTTACGCCCAAGTTCATTCATTATGTTGAGTTAAAGAGGTATATCTGACACACCCAGCATGGCACGTAGAAATCGAACAATCTACCCCGGTGGATGAAAGAAAGGTTTACTTTCGTTTATTTTATTTTACAGCATATCAACCTCAATGGGTTATTTAATGCCGACAACATTTTTAGGATAGATTCGTATGAATAGAATATGTATTCTTTGCTTTAGATTGGTTTGGTTTATTTTATTTTACGGCATATCAGCCTCAAAGGGTTATTTAATGCTGACAACATTTTTAGGATAGATTCGTATGAATAGAATATGTATTCTTTGCTTTAGATTGGTTTGGTTTATTTTATTTTACGGCATATCAGCCTCAAAGGGTTATTTAATGCCGACAACATTTTTAGGATAGATTCGTATGAATAGAATATGTATTCTTTGCTTTAGATTGGTTTGGTTTATTTTATTTTACGGCATATCAGCCTCAAAGGGTTATTTAATGCTGACAACATTTTTAGGATAGATTCGTATGAATAGAATACGTATTCTTTGCTTTAGATTGGTTTGGTTTATTTTATTTTACGGCATATCAGCCTCAAAGGGTTATTTAATGCCGACAACATTTTTAGGATAGATTCGTATGAATAGAATATGTATTCTTTGCTTTAGATTGGTTTGGTTTATTTTATTTTACGGCATATCATCCTCAAAGGGTTATTTAATGCTACGGCATATTTAAAGGGTTATTTAATGCCGACAACATTTTTAGGATAGATTCGTATGAATAGAATATGTATTCTTTGCTTTAGATTGGTTTGGTTTATTTTATTTTACGGCATATCAGCCTCAAAGGGTTATTTAATGCCGACAACATTTTTAGGATAGATTCGTATGAATAGAATATGTATTCTTTGGTTTAGATTGGTTTGGTTTATTGGTTTTTTATTTTACGGCATATCAGCCTCAAAGGGTTATTTAATGTTTGACAACATTTTTAGGATAGATTCGTATGAATAGAATACGTATTCTTTGCTTTAGATTGGTTTGGTTTATTTTATTTTTACGGCATATCAGCCTCAAAGGGTTATTTAATGCCGACAACATTTTTAGGATAGATTCGTATGAATAGAATATGTATTCTTTGCTTTAGATTGGTTTGGTTTATTTTATTTTACGGCATATCATCCTCAAAGGGTTATTTAATGCTGACAACATTTTTAGGATAGATTCGTATGAATAGAATATGTATTCTTTGCTTTAGATTGGTTTGGTTTATTTTATTTTACGGCATATCAGCCTCAAAGGGTTATTTAATGCCGACAACATTTTAGGATAGATTCGTATGAATAGAATATGTATTCATTTTTTGCTTTAGATTGGTTTGGTTTATTTTATTTTACGGCATATCAGCCTCAAAGGGTTATTTAATGCCGACAACATTTTTAGGATAGATTCGTATGAATAGAATATGTATTCTTTGCTTTAGATTGGTTTGGTTTATTTTATTTTACGGCATATCAGCCTCAAAGGGTTATTTAATGCCGACAACATTTTTAGGATAGATTCGTATGAATAGAATATGTATTCTTTGGTTTAGATTGGTTTGGTTTATTTTGTTTTACGGCATATCAACCTCAATGGGTTATTTAATGCCGACAACATTTTTAGGATAGATTCGTATGAATAGAATATGTATTCTTTGCTTTAGATTGGTTTGGTTTATTTTATTTTACGGCATATCAGCCTCAAAGGGTTATTTTAATAGATTCTGAACAACATGTATTCTTTTTCAAGGATAGATTCGTATGAATAGAATATGTATTCTTTGCTTTAGATTGGTTTGGTTTATTTTATTTTACAGCATATCAACCTCAATTTAATTACATTTTTAATAGATTCGTATGAACAAAAATTCTTTCTTTAGATTGGTTTGCGGAATCAATTTGCTTCGAGGAAAAAAACTGATCGAGGGAAAAAAAAAAGTGTAACTTAATTCTCACTTATTTTCCCAACTAAATCGTCGATAAAAAATATTATTCTTACCAAAAATACATATCAGTAATAAAAATACTGCACAACAAAACATCAACATATTTTACTGCAACGAGACACAATAATTATAAGCAGAACAAATGAGTTATGAGAATGTTTTTTTGTCATAAATCAATTACTTATATTTACATACTAGGCCCTTTATATAAAACATCTCGCTCCCACTCTCAACCTCATCTTATTCAGCAGTGGGAATGGTTTGTTGAAAGTTTAAAAATACAAAAGGAAAAATGCTCACTTGTATTCCAGCCGCGCACAGCAGGCGAAGTTCGGAAAAAAATGCTCCTGCTAGCATTCGAAACAAGATAAAAGAAAACAACTTAAGCAGTCATACAGGAAGATAAATTAACAACACTCAAAAACAAAAACCCTTGAAAATGGCTAAAGTGACCGAAAACACTTGGGACAATAGACAGGATGGACAATACTTGCACTTATCTACGCCCACCAAATGAAAAAATAAATGGAAAATTAATTAAATTAATCATATTCAGCGAAACATGTTTAAAAGAACGATTGCTGTCCATATATATATATATATATATATATATATATATATATATATATATATATTCATATACGTTTCATTAAATAATATAGACAAGTGTTGTCTATTTATTTTATGTAAATTCTTTTCATAACGTCTGATAAGTTTAATAACATTATCATTGAACGAAGATAGAAATTCACAATATTGATCCATATTTTTAATCCAATCTTTTATTTTCAGCTTACATAAGCCATTATCAATGATGTCAAATTACAACATATTAAGCAATATACGGACAAGACAGTGATGATAGTCTGTGATTGTTTACATAGATGATTTCTAAGCAACGACAAACACGTACATATAAGACGCTAGAAGCGAAAATCGCGCCGCATCTCATGACGTCACACATGACCACGCGAGAGTGAATTGGGGAAGTATGAAGTATGGGAAACTGTTGGTATAAAGCAATGGCTTCTGTTACCAATTATAGACATGAATTTCGGCTATACTTGATAGTTTTCGAGGAGAGAAGCAAAAAATTGGGAAATATCTAACAGAGAATATATATTCTTCAGGCCAAAGTTTGAAATAAACGTCGAAATTGAAAAGGTATTCTACCGCCTCTATGGTAAGAAAATAAAAGAACGAATACAAATCTTGGAAGTCCTTTAAATCAAAAGAAGGCAACCCATTATCAATCAAATCAGTTTCAATCTAGTAGCTCATAAAAGCATTTTCTTTTAAATTTTAAAGTCATTTTTGCCATGCGACGCTAAAATGTTTTTCACGGCCGTTAGCGCACAAACGCTCGTTCATTTCAAACTTGGAAAGGTTAGCATAAAAGCTATACTGAGGAATTCTCAAATTTCTAACTACATTCTTTGAAAGCGATTAACGATAATCGAAAGTACTTGAAGCAGAACATAATTTCGGAAAGTTCTTTTACAAATTTCCACCTGGCATTAAACTACTTGACAGAAAAAAACTTACCAGAAGGATTTAATGTATCTTTGATTAAAAAAAATATTCGAGATAAAAAGAAATACAAGACATTGAACGCATTCTTTTTCTTTTCTTCTTCTTCTTCTTCTTCTTCTTCTTCTTCTTCTTCTTCTTCTTCTTCTTCTTCGTATTTTGGTATATTTCCTTCTTTGGATAACATGAATGTCTCTTCTTCTTTTCATGCTTCTTTTTTTTTCTTCTTCCGATTTTCATATTGTCGCTTCTTACTTCAACATCATTTATTCCCATCCTTTTTTATTATAATTTTCTTCTTCGTCTTCTTCTTCTTCTTCTTCTTCTTATTTTTTTCATCTTTCCATCTCCCCTTCTATAACATTTATTTCTCTTCTTTTCCTTCTTCTTCTTCGTACTTTTGTTTTTTTGCTTCTCCTTTCTATAACATTTTTTCTCTTCTTCTTTCCCACTTTTTCTTCTTCCTCTTTCTTCTTCTTCTTTTTCTTCTTCTTCGTATTTTTGTATATTCCCTTCTCCTTTCTATAACATTCATTATTTTTCTTCTTTTATTTCTTCTTCTTCTTCTTCTTCTTCTTCTTCTTCTACGTATTTTGGTATATTTCGCTTCTTCTTCTCATGTTTCTTTTTCTTCTTCTTGTTTTCATATCGTCGATTCTTACTTCTACATCATGTATTTCCATTCTTTTTTATTATAATTTTATTCTTCATATTTGTTCTTTGTTGTTGTTCTTCTTCTTCTTTCTTCTCCTTTTTCTTCTTCCTCTTCTTTTTCTTCTTCTTCTTCTTCTTCTTTTTCTTCTTCTTCTTCTTTTTCTTCTTCTTCTTCTTCTTTCTTCTTCCTCTTCTTCTTCTTCTTCTTTTTCTTCTTCTTCTTCTTTTTCTTCTTCCTCTTCTTCTTCTTCTTCTTCTTCTTTCTTCTTCCTCTTCTTCTTCTTTTTCTTCTTCTTCTTCTTTTTCTTCTTCTTCTTCTTTCTTCTTCCTCCTCTTCTTCTTCTTCTTTTTCTTCTTCTTCTTCTTTTTCTTCTTCTTCTTCTTCTTTCTTCTTCCTCTTTTCTTCTTCTTCTTTCTTCTTCCTCTTCTTCTTCTTCTTCTTCTTTTCTTCTTCTTCTTCTTCTTCTTCTTTTCTTCTTCTTCTTCTTCTTCTTCTTTCTTCTCCTTTTTCTTCTTCCTCTTCTTTTTCTTCTTCCTCTTCTTTTTCTTCTTCCTCTTCTTCTTTCTTCTTCTTCTTCTTCTTCTCCTTTTTCTTCTTCCTCTTCTTTTTCTTCTTCTTCTTTCTTCTTCTTCTTCTTCTTTCTTCTTCTTCTTCTTCTTCTTCTTCTTTCTTCTTCTTCTTCTTCTTCTTCTTCTTTCTTCTTCTTCTTGCATCGTTGTATCAACAATTTGCATTTTATTTAAAGCGAGATCATATTTTTATTTTGTAAGAAATTCGGGGTGATAATGATTTTACTGATACAAATTCTGTTACTTAACCCATAGCTGACGGATAAGTGGTGAATTCTTACTTTTCTCATGGGAATTTGCACGTGAATAAATATAATGAACCCAACTGGAATTGGAACACGACTCTCCGATTCCCAATTCCGAGCCCTTATCTATTGCACAACCCACACACTCAAGATTACTGTACCTGGTATTGCCAAGGGGTCACCCATCTACGTACAAACAGAGTTTGACTTTGCTTAACTTCGACGATCGGACGAGAACCGGTGTCTCAATGTGGTACTGTGGTAAGCCCAATACTTTTGATAAGAACTTATATTATATGCTGAAACTGAAGCGATTTATTGTTCACATAAATACACTCTGAAAATGTTCACAACCCCGGTTTCATTAATAACACATTTATTGTGAAAACATTGACTTGAATATTAAAATCGACATAGTATATATATAGGTATATATGTCTGTATGTAAAAACATTTCAAGAGAACCGAATGCTATATACACTTAAGGAAGTATAAAATCAGAGAAAACAAAGAAAGAAAACAAAAAAAACTCAAAATGCACATTGACCGGCACATGTAAGAAGTAAAATTTGGCAAAAATAATTCTTCGAATAAGAAGAACGATCAAGGAAAATTCTTACATATCCGATGAGACGAAAAGATAATTTATCATGTCTTTTTTCGAATGAATGTACGCCGCTTCGGAAGTTCAAACGCCGAAGTTTTCTCGTATTAACGAGGTACGCAAACGCCTCCGATTGTGTGCGTATGGTGTGTGGACACGAATGTCAGCGAATACACAACGATAGTCGGATTTTGTATGTCTCACTGCAAAATCAGTGACAGATTGAGAGCATATGTGTTTAAATCGGAGTGAGAAAGGGAGAGAGAAAGAAAAAGGGAGAGAGAAAGAGAAAGAAAGAGAGAAAAATTTAACAAAAAATAAATAAAATCGGCTTAATGCGCATGCGTGTAAGTACGCATGCGTGAGGAAAGGTTGGCATAAAATTATTCCTTTCTATGTGCAAAAACTAATTGTATGTGCAGGAACATTTTGGGAGTGTCATTTCATTTTTAAGAAATGCAATCCTTTTTATTTCTTCTTCTGTGTACCAAGTCCCTTCAGAACGTTGGCGATCATGGCTCTCCACAATTTCTTTTTCTTAATAAATTTCCTCTTGATTTAGAAATGCATAACAGAAGTTTAAAATGTAACTATGTAGACAGATTGATTTTTTAAAAAGGTTTATCAACCCATTTGCAGTTTATTTAAAGTCAGAAAATATTTTTAGACTGTAAGAATTTTTTGGAGATAATAATGAATTACTGATACAAGTCATACTAATTAACCCATACCTGGGGATAAGATGCAGATGCATACCTTTTGCGTATTGAGTATTTGCACGCGAGCGAATATAATGAACCCAACGGGAAATGGAACTCAGTAGTCCAATGGTTAATTCACAGCCGTTATCAATTACACCACCCGCCCACCCAAATTACGATATTATTTATTAATAATTGGACCATTTTTCTACATCTCACGTTAACTGAAAAACACAAAAAAAAAATCGTGCATTTATCACGTGATTATATTAAAGAAAATGTTCTTTATTGAAATATTCAAAATAAATTTCTATCATTGCGACACTGCACGTTCCGAAATTACGTAACCGTTAATAAATAACACATTCTTTAAAAAAAAATCTTTCGCCTAAGAAAACATTTATTTCGTCTTGGAGTTACTTGAAATGAAAAAATATTAAACCATGACGATGTGATAATTTTCAAAACTACAAGCAACACTAGAACATCAAATCCATCTTACAATTTTAAATATAAGAATCGCGTCATTCAACGAATAGTTAGTAAGTTAATGCTTTATTAAATTTGTTTTTCGCCATTAATTACATTAACTTTACTGATCAATTCTACGTTCACTTCTTTATACTAGTGATATATCCGTTCTTGACTATCTTTTCTTCAGAGTATTCATTATGGGTCTTAATTAAATTGACTAAACTCATAAACTTAAAAGATATACATTAAGGGATTAACTCCGATATATCTTTACCTTAGGTTTAAAGTAAATCCATATCCTGCTAAATGTTAATAATTACATCTAGTACATAAAAGTTCAGCACTCTGGGTATTTCATCTATATAAATATGTTACTCTGAATTGAATTAATAATCATTTAATTCAAATCTCCTAGGTTTTATCTTAAATTTATTGGTTAATTATACAAAAATTTAATTTAAAATTTAATTTTTAAAACCTTTTAATAATGTCCTGAACCAGAAACTTTTTGTAACATTATTTACAGAATTTATTGAATGAAATACAGGGAATTAAGCCCGATCTAACTTTTCCTTAGTTTAAAGTACATTCATATCGTGATAAGTATTAATAAATAAATTTAAGATATCTGTCTATATTACTGAGATGAGGTATTATTTACATTATTCGGACTATTGTCTTCATCTTTGTCGCCATATTTATTACAACGTTTCGGCCGTTTTACGCTCCGGCCTTCTTCAGGTGGTTGGAATGTCGAACTGAACGCTTTATTTCGCTCACTGGGGGTAGACTGTTCTAGTTATTTGCCATGTTTAATGGATGTCAATTATCAGTTATCTCCTGTTAATTTCCATCTGAAAGTTCTCCACTGCCTTAACCGGGTATTGAACTCACACTCTTTGGGTCCTGCCACTGGATCTAACCAACGCCTTTATCCACTGTGCCATGTGTTCTTGAGTGTATGAATTTCTGGGGATTATAAAACTAATGTCTTCAGCAACCATTTCTAACAGTGCTCATATTGCAATTTTTTAATGTTATCAATTCGTGTTTTTACCAGAGCTCATATTGGAACTATTTTTGTTATTATCACTTTTCTCTGGCACTCCTTATTACTGGTTCCCATATTGTATTCATTTCTATTCTTGGTCGACTCAGGAGATATTTGTGGCCTAGCATATGTGCTGATTCCTTAAGTTTACGAATTTTCCAATGGTGTTTCTTGTCTATGGTCTCAACCTGATCTCACAGAATGTGGTGATCTCCCTTCTCTCTCCATATGTGGTCAGCCACGCCTGATTTTTCTACTTCCCCTCGTCTTACAACTTTCTGGTGTTCTTGAAGCCTTACCTTAAGGAGGCGGCCTGTCTCCCCTTTATATATTTTTCCGCAGCAGCGCAGGATAGCATACACACAGTCTTTAGTCATGTTCTCCTCTATGGGGAGGGGGTTACTCGGGAGAGATATCAGCGAAGTGTCGTCAAGCTTTTGAATGTTGTCCTGATGTTATATGGACCGCAGATCCTTTGTATTTTCTCTGATAATTCCTTCATATAAGGCAGGCAGACTGTAATTAAATCTAAGATATTCGAGATATAAATATGTTTCTCTGAATATAAGTATTTTAATTTAAATTTCTTGCTTAATGATATAAAAAGCAGATGAAAACTTTTTTAAAAATATTATTTACAGAATTTATTGAATGAAATACAGGGGATTAATCCCGATCTAAATTTTCCTTAGTTTAAAGTACATTCATAACCTTCTAAATATTAATAAATACATTTAGGATATAAAAGTTCAGGACTCTACGTATATAACCTTTATAAATATATTTCTCTGAATATAATTAATAATCATTTAATTCAAATCTCTTAGGTATTTTGATTTTAATTTCTTGCTTAATTATATAAAAAGTATATAAAAACTTTTTTCGCTAATTTCGAAATTTTTAAAAAGGTTCTCTTTTAATATTATTTACAAAGACATAAACAGACGGGATTGTTTCAGATTCACACTGATGTCAGTATGTCAAAATAGCTCAACACTCTCTGTCTCCTGCCCCTTCAACTTTCTAAAAAACAATATCTCTCTTTTTTTTAATCGGAATATTTTTTCCATTTAATTTGTCCACAATTTTTAGGTATTGAAAATGATTTGCTGATTTTTAGAGCTCTCATGAAATAAAAATTATTACCTATGTGATTTTAAGTGTTTGATATTCTTTACTTAATAATAATAATGATAATATATATATATATATATATATATATATATATATATATATATATATATATATATATATAATAATAATAATAATTATATATATACATATAACATATAATAATACCCATATATATATATATATATATATATATATATATATATATATATTAGTAGAACCCGGCGTTGGGGGATGTAACAGTAAGAGATAGAGCAATTATCGACCATCATAAAGACTGAAAAATAAAATTGACAAAGATTATTGTTTAAGGCTGACGGACACGCATGTCTTGTTTTTTTTTTTGTTTTTTTTGTTTTGTTTTTTTTGTTTATTTTTACGAATTGGTCAAACCCAAATTCAAAAAAACATTGTTTACAATCGTTATGAGTCTATCGATTGGTGAATAGAATTTATTATAAACAATTGTCTTGTAAATGGAATTTTTTAAGCATTCTGAATGTAAAAAATAAATAAAAAATTTTAAAACAATAAGAAACCTAAGAAAAAAAAAATGAAGTTTTGTTGAAATCGGTTGAAAATGAGGTAGCCTTTCTCTAAATCTTTTACAATTTATGATTTTTACTTATTGAATACAGTAAAAAATTCATATTCCATTGTACAATTTATAATTAGAATTCTGATTTGAATATATTTTCAACTCATTGTTTCTAATAAAAAATATTAACTTTATTTGGGTTTATTAATTTATTACAAGTACTGTGTTCTTTCTTTTAATAATTATCATCTTCGAAATATCTTTATTTTTTTTGTCTATCAGATTTCTTACGTCGGCATTTTAGAATTATTTCTTTTAAATATTGAATTAATTTCAAATAGAACCCTTATTGATCTGCCTTGTAACAAATTACAAAGGGAATTGTAAAAACGGTCCTAAAGTACGTGGAATTATCTTTCACTAAAGATAAAGAATTATCCGATTTTTCGATTCGTACAATCAGTAGAGATCGTTAGATTACTGTTTAGGTTGACGGACACGCATGTCTTAGTTTTTTTCTTTTTTTTACGAATTGGTCAAACGCAAACTCAAACAAAAACATTGTTTTCAATCGTTATGATGAGTCCTCCGATTGAATAGAATTAGAATTTTATTATAAACAATTGTCTTGTAAATGAAATTTTTAAAGCATTCTGAATGTATAAATAAAGAAAAAGTTGTGCAAGACAATAAGAAACACGACCTGCCAAAAAAAAAGTGGATGTTTGTTTTATCGGCTGAAAAATGTAAGA